TGCAGCAAGACAGGGGAAGAAGAGGCTACGAAAATTATCAAGGTAGCAGTTCGAGCAGTTCGGTAGAAAAGAGCAGTTTCAATAATTGCTTTAACGCAGGGCGAAATCAGGAAGATAAGGTGGTAGAAAAGCGCCCTATGAACGAGCAGAGGGATAAGGGAACGCAAGCACAGAAAACTGTGAACCCTAACCCTTATGCTAAACCAGCCGCGATAAAGTGTTACAGGTGTAATCAGCCTGGGCACCGTTCTAATGAATGCCCTCAGAGAAAGACCGTAAACGTAGCAGCGAGAGAAGATAAAGAAGATGGATATTGCTGTGCGCCGGATGGTGAGGACGATGATTTTGAAGATGAAGAAGAGGAGCAAGTAAACTGTGTGGTGCGCAGAATGATGTTGGCCCCAAAACAGGAAGATGATTCGCAGCACCATCAGTTATTCCGAACCAGGTGCACCATTTTGGGAAAGATATTTGCTGTGGTTATTGATAGTGGAAGTATGGAGAATATCATTGGGAAGGAGGCAGTGAAGAAGCTGGGGATACCCGTGGAGAAGCATCCTAATTCTTATATGTTATGATGGATTAAATCTGGAGCGGAAAGCATTCAGGTAACTGAGCGATGTAAAATTCCATTCTCCATCGGTAAGTATAATGATGAGCTGTATTGTGATGTAGTAGACATTGATGTATGTCATGTGTTATTTGGGAGGCCGTGGCAATTTGATGTAGATGCCCAGCATTCGGGAAGAAGCAATCAGTATAACCTTGTGAAGGATGGAGTGAAGTATACGTTGCGCCACCGAAGAACAAAGGAAAACAAGTCGCTGAAAATAATTTCCTTACCCTTACGAGGAAATTTGAAGGCGAGGTTAAGGAGACCCGACGATTCACGTGCTGGTCGTGAAACAAGCAATTGAGACTGAGGTTGAATTACAAGTGGAGGAGCAACCTGAAGCAGTCGGGCCTTTATTGAAGGAATTTAGCGAACTGATGCCTGAAGAGATTCCAGATGGGTTACCGCCTATGCGTGATATTCAGCACCATATAGACTTAATTCCTAGTGCTAGTCTGCCAAATTTACCGCACTACAGGATGAGTCCAAAAGAGAGCGAGATTATAAAAGAGAAGGTGGAGGAGTTGTTGCGAAAGGGGCACATTCAGAATAGCATGAGCCCATGTGCTGTTCCGGCCTTGTTGACTCCTAAGAAAGATGGGAGTTGGCAGATGTGTGTAGATAGCAGGGCCATTAATAAAATAACTGTGGGTTACAAGTTTCCAATTCCGAGATTGGATGACATGCTGGATAGGTTGCATGGTGCTAAGTGGTTCTCGAAGCTAGATTTGAAGAATGGGTACCATCAGATTCGGATTCGGCCTGGAGATGAGTGGAAGACAGCTTTCAAAACAAAGGAGGGGTTGTACGAATGGTTGGTGATGCCTTTCGGACTTTCCAATGCTCCAAGCACTTTCATGAGGCTTATGAATCAGGTTCTGAAATCTTTTATTGGCAAATTTGTTGTAGTTTATTTTGATGATATCCTGATTTATAGTAAGACCGAGGAGGATCATCTGATGCATTTAAGGGAGGTGTTGACAGCCTTACAGATTAATAAGCTGTATATTAATCTTAAGAAGTGCAGTTTTTTAACTAATAAGCTGTTATTCTTGGGATTTATTATTACTGCTGAAGGAATAGAGGTAGATGAGGCGAAGGTAAGAGCAATCAGAGAGTGGCCGACTCCTAAAACAGTTTCTGACGTTAGGAGTTTTCATGGGTTGGCTACTTTTTATCGGCGATTTATTAAGAATTTTAGTACTATCGCAGCCCCAATTACTGAATGTATGAAGAAAGGCAAATTTCTATGTGGAGAGGAAGCTGAGAATAGTTTTGCTATTTTGAAGGAGAAGTTATGTACTGCACCTGTTCTTGCTTTACCTGATTTTGATAAACTGTTTGAAGTGGATTGTGATGCTAGTGGAGTGGGTATAGGAGCTGTTTTATCTCAAGAGCGCAGACCAGTTTGCTATTTTAGTGAGAAGCTCAGTGACGCAAGGCAGAAGTGAAGCACTTATGATAAAGAATTCTGTTATGCCATAAGGGCTTTGAAGACCTGGGAACATTATCTGATTGGGAAAGAATTCGTTCTTTATTCTGATCATGAAGCTTTGAAGTATCTAAATAGTCAAAAGAGGATTAGCAAAGATATGCATGCGCGATGGTATCAATTTTTGCAAAAATTTTCTTTCAGATTACAGCACAAGTCAGGTGTGCATAATGTCGTAGCAGATGCATTGAGTAGGAGAGCTGGCTTGTTGATTACATTAAGCCAAGACATCTTGGGGTTTGAGCAGTTGAAAGATTGTTATGCAGATGATGATGACTTTGGGCAAATTTGGAAGTCATGTGCTGCTGGTCAACCTGTGCAAGAATTTATGTGCAGAATGACTATTTGATGCGTAGCAATCAGCTTTGCCTTCCTCGAACATCATTACGAGAGAAGGTAATTCGTGATTTACATGATAGTGGATTAGCTGCACACCTGGGTCGTGATAAAATTATTGTTGCAGTTCGTGAGCGATTTTACTGGCCCCAGTTGCGTAGAGATGTCAGCAGGTACGTACAAAAGTGTTATGTTTGCCAGACTGCTAAGGGGAAATCTAATAACACAGGTTTATATATGCCATTACCTATTCCTGACAATATATGGAAAGATCTGTCCATGGATTTTGTGCTTGGTTTACCACGGACACAAAGAGGCGTGGATTCTATTTTCGTTGTGATTGACAGATTTTTCAAGATGGCGTACTTCATTCCTTGTAGGAAAACTTCTGATGCAGTAAGTGTGACCAGATTATTCTTTAAGGAAGTGGTTCGTTTGCATGGTGTGCCCAAGTCTATTACCTCAGATAGGGATAGCAAATTTCTGGGGCATTTTTGGCGGACTTTGTGGAAGTTGTTTGATTCATCTTTGAATTTTAGTAGCACAGCTCACCCGCAGACTGATGGGCAAACAGAGGTGGTTAATAGAACTCTGGGAAACTTGATTCGAAGCATTTGTGGAGATAAGCCGAAGCAATGGGATGTTGCTTTATCACAAGCGAGTTTGCTTATAATAATGCAACATAGTTCTATTGGCGGTCGCCTTTTTTCGTTGTTTATACAAAGGCGCCTCAAAGATACTGGATTTGGTACAGGTTGCCTAAGCAAGCGGATAAAAGTGTAGCAGCGGATCATATGGCTAAACAGATTGTGGAAGTGCATCATGAAGTCAAACAGAAGCTAGAGGAAGCTAATCAGAAGTATAAAGCTGGAGCAGATAAGCACAAGCGGAAGCAGGTGTTTGCGGTAGGTGATCAAGTCACGGTTTTTCTTCGTAAAGAGCGATTACCAGCTGGATCTTACAGTAAATTACAGCCAAAGAAGTGTGGACCTTACGCTATCAGCAAGAAGATCAACGATAATGCTTATGTTAGAGACCTTCCACATAGCATGGGCATATCCAACACTTTTAATGTTGCTGATTTGTCACCATTTCATGAGTCCACAGAGCCGTTATATCCAGATCCTGATTTTAACTCGAGGACGAGTTCTTTTCAAGTGGAGGAGAATAATGCGGAATTTATTAGTGGTGCGTTTCTGGACCGATTGGACAAACAGAAGTCCAAACGAAAAGCGAAACGGTAATGCGATTAGATGGTTTTTTTTCCTATTATTTTAGTATTTTTTATGAGTTAATTTTAAAGGTCATTTTTGTAATTTTGCTATTTGATACTTATTAACTTTCCTATAATGATTAGGTTTCTAATTCAGATTAGGTAACTTTCCTATTATGATTAGGTTTCCTATTGTAATTAGGTTTAACCCCTATAAAAGGGTGTTTAGGGTTTGTTTTGAGGTGAACATTATTATCATCAATATTGAATTTCGAGATTTTTCTCTCTAAGCAAGGTTTTGCTTGAATTATTTGCTGAACGCTACGTCAAGTTGTTTAACAGTGTTCCGGTTGAAATGGGGACAAGTAAACCACAACTAAGCTAAACTAATTGGTTTATTCTTTTGGGTTAATACCATGAAGAACTTCAAACTGGTATATATGTGACAACTTTATCCTCCATTAAATTAGATTCATATCATGAAAAATCACAAATTGATAAATCTGTGACAAGCAGAGAAGTAAAACCCTAAATTAGTACATCTGTAATAAATTTACCCCCCGTTAGGCCTTATACATCATAGAGTTAAATCAGAAAGGAAGCAATGCTAATAGGCCTCTACACTATTTCATCATATCCAAGTTCATCGACAGAGGTCTTCGATCCGACTTTCATATCCACATCTTTCCAAAACCAATGCCTATAATTCACGAGGCATGGTCGATGCCATGTATTAGTTCTATAATCAGCTATTTGCACCCAAAAGTTGCTTATAAGATCACCAAGATCCTTTCTGTACTTGCCAACAATGCCCGCCTTCTTCATTCTTAATGCAATTGAGTTTTTCAAAACTCAAAGAGATCGCCTCGCGCGCGCACAATGCATGAATTAAATGAAGTCGCGCACTTTGCCTAAGGCCATAGATATTGCGAACACCATTTAGCGAGAACTCTTTAGTGACACTTTTAGTAACTCTGGTAGTACTCTTGACAAAATGGCTCGACCAAGTACGACTATATGGCCTAACCATTGCCTGATGCGGCATCTCATGTAAGAACATTCACGATGGATTAAGCCTGAACTGAATGGGATCTCTAACATTTCACATTTACGATTACTTAAATTCTATAGCACCATCAAAATTGAATTTTCTTTATTTTTTGGTAAGTTAAATTTATATTATTTCACAAGAATTTAAATCATATCTGAAGCTAGACAAAAACGTTTATCTTCTGTTCATTTTCGCAATTTCCATGGGCCCTTTTTCCAGCGGAGGATGATAGCGACAAGAAGAATCATTTCGACGAAAAGACAATTATGCCCTTCCGGGATAACGTTCCGTCATGAAGGCAAGAGCCCCGCTTTTTAGCGCTCTCTCGACAGTTAACAGCACCGGTCACTACCGACACCGATCGAGTTCGCCGGGAAAAACCGACGACTCCGCCGTGACAACTCTCCGATGGCCGAGAAGACGAGCAAAGTTCTGGTGATCGGAGGCACTGGATACATCGGAAAGTTCATCGTGGAGGCGAGCGCTAAGTCCGGCCACCCGACCTTCGCTCTCGTGAGGGAGTCCACTCTCTCCGACCCCGCCAAGGCCGAAATCGACGAAGGTTTCAAGAGCTTAGGCGTGAATGTAGTCCAGGTGAGTAGCAATTCCCGTGCGATCGTGTTCGTTTCCCCACATCTGGTGCTGCTTCGATGAGGAATCGAAGCGTCACCCGCCGTTGATCTTGTTCGTCGTTCCGAGCAATGTCTTCAGCCGTAGAATCGGAGCTGATGCTTATCTCAATCTTTCGCAAGATCGAGTCGATGGAGTCGCGTTACGATTGGGCGTTTCTCTTTCTCTCCTCTGGTGGAATTAGAAACATTCTTCCTCTCGTTTTCACACTAGCTGACGAGTTATCTCAGCTTCGCGTGCTGATGCGAACGAGCACATTTTCAGACAAATCTTATGAAACTTCCATATCTTAGGTACTGTGTGGATGAATCTTTATATGGAAGTAAATTTGGCTGACCTGTTATTCAGTTGTCATGGTAGGCAATGAGTGGACGAGCGTTATATGGACAAAATAGGATTTGTTGATGATTGCTGACTGACTTTATTGATTGTTTTGTCCATGCTCTCTTGATTATTTGATCCTCAGGGAGACATGTACGACCCGGAGAGTCTGTTGAATGCGATTACGCAGGTTGATGTGGTAATCTCTGCCGTGGGGCATCATGCACAACTAGAGGACCAACACAAGATTGTTGCTGCCATCAAAGCAGCCGGGAATATCAAGGTCGTGCTTTTTATAATAATTCCGTCCAAGTTACTATTGTTCGTTTAGCATTTGACTGATGATATAGGTTGGTGTTAGCTTAATTCTTTTCTTCTGGTATAAGTGCATCGCCTTCTCCTTTTGAGCTTTGCTTTGATGAAATGGGATGGATTGACTTATTTATCTGTAGACCTCACTTCTTTCCTTTTTAAATGGTCACGACTTTGTGTAGATGTCATCAGTGAAATTGGAGGATAACTGTTTCAAATCCAAGTATAGGATGATGCGGGGTTTTAAGTGGCCTACTCTAAATGCACACTATTGCTTTTTGATGGATTCAGTTGGGTAGGAAATTATGTCATCGTGGATGCGCGATGTACCTTATCTACATGATTTCATACATATGCATATGTATTTACTTGGAGATCTACATCTTTACACAACCAAAAAGGTTCTTCGATGCCAAACTCGCGCCTGATATTGGGCTACCCACATACTCCAGGGACCTTTATTTATCCAGAACCTGTGTGGTTGGGTTCCCTCTAGGTCAGCGAGAAAAGTAAAAGTTTCTAGCACTCAATACGGATTATGGTCATCTACCCAGCTCTTTGACTGTGAATGGGAAACACGAACTACTTAATCCTTCAAATGGTCTTTTTTGGTAGTATTGTTATTGTAGCAAATAAGTTACCAAAACCCAGTTAGTGGATAGTTTAGTAGTTGTTGCTTTGGGGGGTTGACGGTCGATAATGAGTGGAGCTCAGCATGCTCACCTAAGGCAATGGACTTACCTGATATTTTATTTCTTGTGAAAGTGTCTAAGCAAGCTGCATCTTTGCATGTTTTATACTTGACAGAGTTATCTGGCTATTGCCCTAACAATTAAATCTTCACTTTTTTTTTTCTTCTACTTTTCTAATAGCACTTAATTGCTTCTATTGATTCACTTATAATCATTTTACTCTGTTATAGTGACATCTTGAAAAAAAAAAGTGAAATTCAGTCTCACATAAGTTTGTTTTCTTTTTTTGCTCTGTTCCAGTCACATATTGAAGAAAAAAAGTGAAATTCAGTCTCATATAAGTTTGGTTTCTTTTTTTGCCAGAACTCATGTAAGTTTATTGGATGAGGGGCTTATACTCTAGTTTTTTCTTGCTTTCTAATGAAAATGTTTCTTTTGATTCAATTAATTTTCGTTTTAGAGATTCTTGCCTTCAGAGTTTGGAAATGATGTGGATCGTGTCCATGCTGTGGAGCCAGCAAAAACTGGATTTGCTATCAAGGCCAAGATCCGCCGCCTTGTTGAGGCCGAGGGAATCCCTTATACATATGTGTCTTCTAACTCTTTTGCAGGTTACTACCTTCTGACATTGTCTCAGCCCGGGGCTACAGCCCCCCCTAGAGATAGCGTTGTTGTCTTAGGGGATGGAAATGCAAAAGGTTAGAATCAATCTGTTGAAATGCGCATTTTAATTAGTTAATATTTTTCTGTGCATTTTTCACGATTTAATTACCGTAGTGATCAGAGTGAGGGGCAGTTCTTGAAGCTTGAGGAATCCAGGCAACTTCCCTGTCCGGAGATGTTAGGCCTTTTACATCCATTAGTTAGTCTTTCACTTTCAGAGACTAATCGATGATATGAATGTGATGTGGTTGAACTTGACACAATACCACCTAGTCGGCAGATCACGAAGGTTATCTTTATGTATTTGGTTGAGAAAAGAACATACGGATGCATTTGTCTGCCATTTGTCTGATGAATCTGTTTACCGAGAGGATTCTTCTTCAATGCAAGCCAAAAGTAATTCTAGGGAGAGTGGTGGCTCTGTACTTCATTTATTAGTCAAATTCTAAAACTCTCCCCGTCAATTTACAGCGGTGTTTAACAAGGAGGATGACATTGGCACCTATACCATCAAAGCTATGGATGATCCAAGGACCTTGAACAAAACTCTGTACATCAGACCTCCTGCCAACACCTACTCGATGGATGATCTCGTGTCTTTGTGGGAGAGAAAGATCGGCAAGACCCTGGAGAGGGTGTATGTTCCGGAGGAGCAGGTGCTGAAGAACATTCAAGGTTAGGGATGCATTTCTATTAGGTTTAAGCATGTGAAATTTTCTCTTCTCCAAGATTTAAAGCTTCTGACATCGATCGTTCTACTTGTCCCGTCATATTGCAGACGCGGTATTTCCACTCAATGTGATATTGGCCATATGCCATTCTAATTTTGTGAAAGGAGACCAAACCAACTTTGTGATTGAGCCGTGGTTCGGAGTGGAAGCTTCAGAGCTCTACCCCGATGTCAAATACACGACCGTGGATCAGTACCTTGATAAGATTGTCTGATAATTGAAACCAACTGTGCTTGGTAATTTCTCCCATCAGCTTGAATCATGAACGATATAGGATTCTGCTTGTCAGGATCCTAGTCTGAAATGTCGCTCCCGCCGATCATCTCACGGCATGTACAACCTCCAAATATGAGGACATGCTATGAATATTGAATATGTGTGCATCTATTCTGCGCTTGGAGAAGTTACTTCTCTATTGGAGTTGATTTTGGTTTATGGGCAAAGCTAAAAGAAAGAGGGGTGTCTCTATTTCCGTATATTATGCGTATTGGGCTGCGGAAACGTTGCGGTGGTGGAAAAACGAGAATTTGCAACAGGTAACTCATGACACACTTATTATACCAATTTGCCGTACAAGGTAACTCATGACACACTTATTATACCAAATTTCAGTACAAGCATAACACTCAAATAAAATATAGTCTCACACGATTATTACAATATACTTTCTCACACCACTAACAAGACACTCGGAAAAACTTGCTTATAAAAAGGCACACTCTCACCTTCTTTTACTTTACTTTTGGGATATATGCGGTATAAGTCCTAAAACTTGTCATAAAAGTATAATTGAGTCCTAAAACTTACAAATATGTAATCAAGTCCTAAAACTTATCAAATTGGTTCAATCGAGTCATAAAGTTAATACCGTCTAATTTACTAACGAAAAATACTGACGTGTCATATTTTACTACTTTCTTGAGACATGTGACGATGATGTGGTGTCCAATAAGCATCACGTCAGAAAAATTAAAAAATTATAAAAAAATTATAAAAAAATAAAAAGAAAAAAGAAAAAAAGTCCCACCAGCGGCTGTGGCGGTAGCCAAGCCCTAGCCAGTGGCCGCCGCCATAGCTACTGAGAAGGGCCAACGGAGGTCGCTTGAGCCTTTCCGAAGCCTGATGACCCTCGCCGGCCCCGAGCAAGGCCCCGGCGAGGGCCTGCAGGCCTCCCCCCAGATCTAAGTGAGGGTTGCGCCCTCCCCCAGATTGGGGCCTCGCCCGAGGCCAACGAGGGTCTCTGGGCTTCAAGAAGGCCTAGGGGGCCTCCGCCGGCCCTTCCCGACGGCTGTCGCGGCGACCACCAGCAAGAGCTTGGCTACTGCCGCAGCTGCGGGTTGTGGCTCTCTCTCTCTCTCTCTCTCTCTCTCTCTCTCTCTCTCTCTTTAAACTTTTAGCTTTTTCTAATTTATTTTATATTTCTTTAACTTTTTTTGACGTGGCGCTTGTTGAACGCCACATGTCTCAAGAAAAGTAATAAAATACGATGCGCTAGTGCCACATCAACATTTTCCGTTAATTAATTAGACAGTGTTAACTTTATGATTCAATTGAATCAATTTGATAAATTTTATGACTCAATTGCATTTTTTATAAATTTTAAGACTCAATTATATTTTTGTAATAAATTTTAGAATTTCTATTATATATATCCTTTTACTTTTCACCCCCTCACATACGAGCAGCCTCTCTTTTCTCTCTATTATGAAGCTCAGGCTGCTCGCTCCTAAACTTAGCATAGAACTCTATTTATAGAGCACTGGTGGGCAGGCATGAGTACAAAAGCTGCTGCACGAGGAAAATATTACAGACGAATAAATTGAAGTCAAGAACCAAGATTCACTTGAGATTGTGAACAACACTCCTTTAATCTGTCTTCTCAAGGAATTTAATGCTTGTCCCCCTAGCTAGCCATAGGTTTGGTATTGATTTCAAGAGGAGGTGTTGACAATTCAAAAGCCCAAATCAAATTTATTGTATTTCATCCGCCTCCCTTAAAATTTATTTTGAAAATCAACAACATCAAATATCATCTTTAAATTTTTTAAAAGAAATCACAAAATGCTTTAAATCTTTTTTTTTTCTTTTTTTTTTTTTTTTTTTTTTTTTTTTTTTTTTTTTTTTTGTGGGGGGGGGCGGGGGGCGGGGGGGGGGGGGGGGGGGGGGGGGGGGGGGGGGGGGGGGGGGGGGGGGGTGGGGGGGGGGGGGGGGGGGGGGGGGGGGGGGGGGGGGGGGGGGGGGGGGGGGGGGGGGGGGGGGGGGGGGGGGGGGGGGGGGGGGGGGGGGGGGGGGGGGGGGGGGGGGGGGGGGGGGGGGGGGGGGGGGGGGGGGGGGGGGGCCCCCCCCCCCCCGCGCCATGCCATGGCCATGGCAAAGAAGAAAATGGGTAGAAAGAAAAAAAAATTAAACAATTCAAAATATTATTAATAAAAAGAAATTTTGTGTAGTTACTCAAACGCATTTACGTTCTTTTCTAGGAATAGAAATTTTGGACGGTTTATCAAACGCCTTCAAATGCTTTCGAGAAATTATTTCAGCACAAGAATAAAAAAAAATCATTTCTGTTCGAAATAATTCCGGACACGAGAATGGTATATTCATGCGCCCCCAAGTATCATCTTTAAATTTTTGAAAGAATTCACTTTCAATGATTTCATCAAAATATTTGCCATCTAATATTTCAATTTGCAGAAATTAAGCTCTATCTCATCATTTTTTACTTGCTCATGAATATTGTGATACTTAATATCGATGTGTTTGCTCCTACAATAAAAAATAGGATTCTTGGCTAATGCAATAGCCAATTTATTGTTGCATGGTAGGAACTTTTTGTTCATGTATTCACAAATTATCCTACACATGCTACCGAAGCTAATGTCATGTAATCAGCTTCAACTGTCAAGAGTGTAACAACTTGCTATTTTTTCGATAACCAAGAAATTGCTCCTGATCCATGAAAGAAATCATAATCGGTTCATCCGTTCCTTCTCTCTTTAGTTCCAACCGCTCTGCTACTGGAGTCCAAATTGGTCTGAGCCATTCCACCACTTATTGCTTCAAGTATCATTTGCATATTTTTTATGTGAAATGAATATAATCACTTCAAGGCCAAGAGGACATCAACCCCAAATTTGTTATCTCGTATTGGCTAGTCATAGCTAGTCATAGCCTCCCTAAATTCTGTAAATATCTTTTCACAACTCCTTGTAAATATCAAGTAATCAATATAAATGCAGATAATTATTATATCATGAACTAATTGGTGATAATCGTGCATGACAATATGTTATGCCATTCTCTTGCATTTGAAAGAACCATCTTATATAATGTTGTTAATGGTTTCCATTGGCATATCATGATAGGGAAGATAGAGCATTTGCTTCTACATCCACTTGTCTTAAACTTACGTTTGTTTGTTGATATCAGGATGAGTGGTTTAGATATTTCATTTACTAGGCTTCGGTTCACTTTTTTATTTCAGATCTGCAGGATGAATCACCTTCCAATAATACGGTTTGGAGTTCATGTGTATTTTGAGTGTGAATACCAAGATATGCTTGTCTCTGAATTGGCAATAGTATATACTGGGTAGTTCTATCGTACAGGTCGTCATGGGGTTACTAGAGTGGGCTCCCCATCGATTAGTAGCTTGGTACTTCAACATTTGCAGTGAGTTACTTCGGCTGCCTTAGGGCTTTAATAGTGATGGCGACATATCAATAGGCGAGGTTGTCAATCGTTAGCGAATATCTTGACTTTTGTATAGGCAAATTTTTGGAGCAGGAGTGGCATGATGATTTTAGGTGACCCAGCCCTTCCCAGAACATTGTTACGTAATTGTGTTTTGTTTGAATACTATGTCAAGATTTTAACTAGTGGTATTAATATAAAGGGAAATTTTCAATTTAGGGTCCAAAGTGAGCCCATTTTTTCAAAATGGGGTCAGTCTGTCGTCTCAAAATGAGGTGCTCAAGTGTCCAATCAGTCTCAATTTGGTACACGAGTTCGCCGTCCAGCCAAATAGTCACCGGCGGCGGTTTTTCGCATTCGGTGGCCGAACAGTAATTTTTACTTTTTAATATTTTTTTGCTTTTTCTTTTCTCTATGGCCGGCGGAGGCTGCCTCGCTAGCGTCGGGGACCCTTGCCCTCGCCGACGTCAGGGAAGGCTAGGCGGCCATCGCTCGACGCCGACGAGGGCAACCCTCCAGCCGAGGCGAGGGCGACCCTTGCCCTCGCCGACGTCGAGGAAGGCTGGGCGGCCCTTGGCGTGCTCTAGCTCCTGTCGATCATGTGGCCGACGCGGTGCCCTCGCCGGATCTAGCGAGGGTCGTCGTTGCCAGTGTCGGGCGAGGGCCGCCTAGCTTTTCCCGACGTCGGCTAGGGCAACCTCGCTTGGCGGGCGAGGTCGGCCCTCGCCGGCCCGGTCGAGGTGAGGCGGCCCTCGCCCGCCCGGCCAGAGGCGAGGGCGGCCCTCGCCCGGCAGCCGCGAGGTCGCCTCGCCGCCCGGGCGAGGTTGCCCTTGCCGGCGTCGGGCGAGGCCGCCCGGCCTTCCCGACGTCGGCGAGGGCAACCCTGCCTGCGGGCGTCGGGCGAGGCCGTCGGGGAAGGCTGGCGGCCCTCGCGGGCGGCCCTCCCGGCTTGGTGAGGGCGCCTTCGCCGCCATAGAGAAAGAAAAAAAAAAAAAAATTAAAAAGTAAAAATTACTGTTCCGGCCACCCGAACAAAAAAACTCGCCGGTGACTATTTGGCCAGTAGCGAACCCGTGACAAATTGAGGCTGATTAGGCACTTGGGACCCCATTTTGAGACTGACAGGACCCCATTTTGAGAAAATGGGCTCACTTTAGACCCCAAATTGAAAATTTCCCTAATATAAATGCATATGTATATTAATTAATATTAAGGAATTTCTCGTATGGGATGTTGTGAATATTTTATTGTCTTTCGCATGCTATTAATTATTACGAATTATAACAAAAAAAAGATACGTGTCGCACGTGGCATTTTGGGATGTCACATCTTCCACCTTGAAAGACTTCTGGGCTTGATTACCAAGCTGACTTTGCAATGCTTGCTCGGGATTCGAATGGGTGGATTTTTGTTTCATTCTTTACTCATGCGAGTACAATGAACCCATTAACCACTCCAACGCCAAGGCTGGCACATTGGCACATCTTGCCCTTCCTCGATTCTGTGACAACATAGTCAAATCTTTTAGTCAAAGACCTTAAGATTTTTTCCACAACGTGTACTTATTGGAGTTCTTCACCATTAATCCTCAATTGTTTAACAATGGTCTGCACACGATTAAATATGCAGAGATTGATTTAAAGTCATTCGTGCGTAAAGACTTAAAATCACTTCCAAGTGTTTGAAGTCACACCCGTTTGACACGACCATCGTCTTTGTACCCCACTTTTGTGGTCTTTGCACTAGATATCTTTTCAAATATTATTTCCTCCACGGCTTGAATGATTGCATACAATGTTTGTTATCCTTCTTTCGGGACTCCACCAATGAATCTTTATCCTCCTTTATTAATGCATTGAATGCTTCAGCATGGCCACTTCAGTGTAACCATTCTCCATTAGATTCCATAAATATTATGATTTGAAAAGAATCTTCGTCTGGACAAATCAGTTGTTAAAATTTCTTTCATTTAGCTTTGGAAGTTGCAGTTGAGCGGAAATCTAATATCAATTGTTGGGTTGCGAAAACATTGTGGTGGTGGTAAAACGAGAATTTATAATATACAACTCAAGACACATTTATTATACCAAATTGCATCACAAGTATATATATGTTGTTTCGCTCAACTATTATAATATACTTTCTGACACCATACACAAAACACTTAAAAGCAAAACTTGCTTATACAAAAGCACACTCTCCACTTCTTTTATTTTTCTCTCCCTCACGTACGCGCAACCTCTCTTCTCTTTCTCTGATCTGAAGCTCGTACTGCATTTGCTCGTGGCCAACTCCTTGACTTCGCAGCAGTCATGGTTACAAAAAGCTGCTGCGCGAGGAAAATATTGCATCCCTTCTTCAATTTGTCATCTGAAGGAATTTAATGCTTGTCCCTTTAGCTAGGCATAGGTTTTCTGTTCAAAGAGGTGTTGACAATTCAATAACTCAAATCAATTTTATTTTATTTCAACAAAAGATCGGAGAAAGTCTATTATTAATTAATTATGAAATTAATAACCTGTTTCAGATAAAAAAAATTAATAATTAATTAAAAATTATTGTAGCGTACACTTTTTCATGAATTTCTTTTTCTAGTCAACTCGTTCAAAAATTTGGGATTCACAATATAATGTTTTTATAGTAGCCCAAAAACTATTATGTTAGTAAAATCCTTTCAATAATACATTTTATGTCGTCCGCGTGGGTTTTGAATTGGAGCCACTAATGATTTTTGATAATTCAACACTCGGCTTCGTAGTCTTGGACTAAAAGATCATTTTGCATTAGAGTAAGTAGTTTTCCATGTTTAAATTGTCTGTTGGCGACCATTATCGCAAAATCAAATACTTCATATGTCCTCGAAAATCTCCTCGTAATTGAAACTTTGGATTTACTTAGCAGATCTATTTCTTAAGTGAGCAAGGATGAAATCTCTGTTGTGAGTTTGATTAAGGATGAACTTAAAGAATAAGAAGTTTAATCCGAGTGATGAATATCTCACGATGTTAGGTCATTGTTAATGTTCAAGGACCCTTATAGGCAGGGAACAAACACGAAGAAAACAAAAGGCAAATGCTCGATGAAGCTGGGACAGCTCTCGAACCAAATTCCTATGGACTCTTGTGTCCTTTTCTTGTCGAGAAACCGATAAGGCGGTGTTTGTGCGATTCCGTGTGGACTTCACAAATTAACGATGTGTTTCTTTGAGTGAAAGATTTTCCCGTAAATTAGCTTATTTGACTTTTGTGCGGTTGGTTGATTGAAAATTATCGATTAACGGAAAAATCATTTCCTGTCAAAGAAAATATGCATGTATAACGTTAGGAAATTGAATTTCCTAATCTGAAAGGAATAAAACATTTTCCTAAAAAGTGATTTTTCCGAAAACGGTTTTCCTTTATGATGAAGTTTTCCCAAACAAAAAAAAATTCAAGTCCAAGAAAAATGCTTTATCCCGATATCATTTTCAACTCTTGGTTGGTTATTAACTTGGCAATGATCTCCTCTTCGGAGGGTAGAGAAAAGCTTCCTCCCTTTTTAGCGTGGATGTTTTCCTTTATCGCAAATGGTATTTCGTTAGTTCATCCATTTTCGGTATCCAAAAATGTGAATTATGAAAGACAAATTCCAAAAAACCTTTCACTGCTAAACAAACACAATCGGTAAATTGCAATTTCAATTTCGAATAAATGGTCTAAACATTAAATCTTTCACATTTAATGATAAAGAGATTATCGTTATAATATATGCCTAATTTACTTGCATCACCTCACTATTTAGTTAATTGATCAATCTAACAAGGTTATTCTTCTTTCTTCAAGAAGTTATGAATTATTTATAAAATAATCTTTTGTTGGCCAAAAAATTTAAAAAGTAATTTGCACCTCAAAACAATCATATAGCGACTATGAAACTCCATGATATCATGCCTGCATATGCATGTGGGAGTAGCTCCTTGTCCTCTCATACCATTTTTTCTTATTCTTTAATATGATAAAAGTAAACCTGAAAAGTGGTTTCAACTTTTTTGTCATCAATTACATGCAAATTCATGGTAAATTTTAATAGGATAATATCAATTGAGAAAAGAAACTATAATTTAAATTAAACAGTATTTCTAACATTCAAAATTAGAATTACTTAAATTTCTAACACCATCCAAACTTAAATTTGGTAAGTTAAGTTTTTCTCATTTCACAAAAACTATGAATCATCTCTCAAATTAGACAACATCGTCATAAAAGTACTTTATATTTGATTTTCTTCCATTTTTTTCGAGAGTTAACACCACGAAAAATTTCAAATAAGTATATTCGTATCACATTTATCCAAATTTTGCCTTAACATTTTTGATCAATTTGTCATAGATATACTAGTTTTAGAATTTTTTTTGCGACACAGATAATTAGTTTGGGTAAATTATGATACGGATATATCAATTTAAGATTTTTTGGAATAAAAAAAATTAATTTAGGATAACGTAACAGAAAAATTAATTTCAAGTGCGTATTTCCCAGCGAAGGATGAGAGATCAAGAAAAATCAAGTCGCCGGAAAGACAGTTCGATGAAAAGACGATTATGCCCTTCTGGCATCAATATAAATAGTGGCTCCCTGTAGAACCTGCCTCCGCATTTTAGCGCGCTCTTCTCCCTCTCTCTCCCAAACGAGAAGTTACAGCAGAGTCGCTACAGAGACCGCGCAAGCTCGGCGGGAAAAGCACCGCGACTCCGCCGTGGAAAACCCCCTCCTCCGCCGCGATGGCCGAGAAGAGCAAGGTCCTGGTGATCGGCGTCACCGCGCTCATCGGAAAGTTCATCGTGGAGGCGAGCGCGAAGTCCGGCCACCCTACCTTCGCTGTCGTGGGGAAGTGCGCTCCGTCGAGCCTCGTCCAAGGCTTCACCGGCTTAGGCGTCCACGTAGTTCAAGTGAGTAGCTTATTCCCGCGCCATCGCGTTCGTTTCCGGCGTCCGGTTCCGCTTCGAGGAACCGAGGCGTCGCCTGCCGTTGATCTTTGTTCGCCGTCCTGAGGAGAGATGCCTTTAGCCGTAGGATCGGAGTTGATTTTTCCGTCTCGAGCTCTGTCGCTCGATCGAGCCGATGGAGTCGCGTCGCGATTCGGTGCTGCTCTTTCTGTTGTCTGATGTTTTCTTCTTTGTATGTCGGTGAAATTTCACTCTGCCTGACGAACCATCTCAGCTTCGCATGTTGATTCGCACGATCACGTTTTCAGACAAATCTTGTTGAAACTTCCGTACGCTTTAGCTGTTCATGAGACAGCGATAGCTACGTAGCTGCACTGACCTGTCTTACGGATTGCCGTGTTTAGATACCTCGTTACAACCTTTTGAAGATCGGTAGGCTATGTGGGGACCAGACTTTTGTGGATAGTAGCTTATTATTTGGCAGGAAAGTACCACAGAAAACCCCCCACGCTGGCGAGAGCCGTCCTCGCCGACTTCCTTCCGCCATGGCGGCGGAAGGAAAAGAAAAGAAGGAAAAAAAAAAGAACAACGAAAAACAGAAAAAGGAAAAAGACGAAAACGCCTTTCGATAAGATTAAAGTATTATGAAGTAAATATGTTACATACGGTATAATTTGAGATTTTTCGTGTCGCAAAAAAAAGTTAAGGGTAAATTTATCACAAGTGGCATAAATTAGGGTTTTTGGTGGTATTTTTCCTTATTTTATTTGTCATCTTATCTTCATCGGATTATGAATTGCTCCTTTCCTTAGTCTTCCCACTGCTGAGACAGGATTTGTTTATGATTGCTGACTTCGTTGATTGTTTTTTGATGCTCTCGGTCATTTGATTCTCAGGGAGACATAAGTATAAACCATCCAGAGACTCTATTGAATGCGGTTAGGCAGGTTGATGTGGTAATCTCTACTGTCGAGACACCACTAGAGGTCCTATACATGACTGTTGCTGCCATCACAACAGTCGGGAATATAAAGGTGGCGCTGTTTCTATCAATTTTGTCCTTGTAATCATCGTTCGTTTAGCATTCCATTGATGATACCGCTGTGTTAGCTTAATTCTTTTCTTCTGGTATAAGTGCATTGCGTTCTTCTTGTGAGCTTCGTTTTGAGGAAATGGGATGCGTTGACTTGTCTATCTGTAGACTTCACTTCTTTTTTCATCTTAAATGGTCATGACTTTGTGTAGAAGTCGTCATTGAAATTCGAGAAATTTCACTTCCAAGTATAGCACAGTGTGGATATTGCGCTGCCCACATGCTCCAGGAGGCTTTATTTATCCAGAACCTGTGCGTTTGGGTTTCCTCTAGGTCAGCCAAAAAACATAAGAAGTTTCGAGCACTCAATATGGACTCTGGACATGTTTCCCAGCTCTTCGATCATGAACTCGTGGGAAACATGAACTAGTTCAACCTTGAAATGGTCTTTTTCAGGAGTATTATTGTTGCATATATGTTACCTAAACCCACTCACTGGGATAGTGCTTAGTAGTAATTGTTGTTGCTTTCGGTGGTTGGCGGTCAACAACGAGTGGAACTCAGCATGCTCCCAAAAGGCAATGGACTAACCTGCTTGTGAAAGTGTCCAAGCAAGCAGCATGTTTGCATTTTTTATACTTGACGGAGTTATCTGGCTGCTGCCTAACATGTAAATCTTCACTTTCCATTTCTTCTATTTTTCTAATAGTACTTGGGGGTAGAATTTACTTAATTGCTGAATTTATTGATTCACTTATGATCATTTTTTACTCTGTTATAGTAACATAATGAAAAAAAAGGAAATTCAGTCTCGTATAAGTTTGTTTTTTTTTATTCTGCCTGAACTCGTATAAGTTTGATGGATAAGGGGAATGTGCTCTAAAATTTCGTTCCTTTCCGATAGAAATGTTTATTCTGATTTGATTATTCTTCTTTTTAGAGATTCTTGCCTTCAGTGTTTGGAAGTGATGTGGATCGTGCCCATGCTGTGGAGCCAGCAAGAACTTTTTATGCTGCTTTCTATACCGACATTCGCCGCCTTGTTGAGGAAGAGGGAATCCCGTATACCTTTGTGTCTTGTAACTTTCTTGCCGGTTGGCACCATTCTACATTGGCACAGCCCGGGGCCACAGCTCCCTCTAGAGATAAAGTTGTCATCTTAGGGGATGGTAATGCAAAAGGTAAGAAGCAGTTCATTGAAATACGCATTCTGATTCGTTGGGATCTTTCTGTACAATTTTTACGATTTAATTACAGCAGTGATCAGAGTGAGGGCAGTTCTTGAACCTTGAGAATTCCAGGCAACTCCCCTATCTGGAGATGTTGGGCCTTTTACATCCTTTAGTTTTCACTTCCGGAGACTAATAAATGATATGAAAGTGATGTTGGTTATCTTGGCACTATACCACCTGGTCAGCATATTAAGAAGGTTATCTTTATGTATCTGGTCGAGAAAAGAATGTATGGATGCATTTGTCTCTGATGAATCTATTTATTGAGAGAGTTCTTCTTTAAATGTGAGCTGAAAGTAACTCTAGGAAGATCAAAGGTTCTGCGATATGTTTATAAGCCAAATTCTAAAATTCTCCCTGTCAATATACAGTGGTGTTTAACAGGGAGGATGACATCGGCACCTATACCATCAAAGCCGTGGATGATCCAAGGACCTTGAACAAAATTCTGTTCATCAGACCTCCTGCCAACACCTCCTCGATGAATGATCTCGTGTCTTTGTGGGAGAGAAAGATCGGCAAGACCCTGGAGAGGGTTTATATTCCTGAGGAGCAAGTTCTGAAGAAAATTCAAGGTCACAGATGCGTTACTATTAGATTTTCTCTATTCTCTCGAGATTTAAACCTTTTGACGTCGATCGGTCTACTTGTCTGCTCATACTGCAGGTGCGGAATCTCCGAAGGATCTGGAATTGGCCATGCTCCATTCTATTTTCGTGAAAGGAGACCAAACTAACTTCGAGATTGAGCCGTGGTTCGGAGTGGAAGCTTCGGAGCTCTACCCCGATGTCAAATACACCACCGTGGCTGAGTACCTTGATCAGTTTGTCTGATTGCCGAAACTGACTGTGCTTCGTGATTTGATTTCTCACATCAGCTTGCAATCATACATAGTATAGTAATCTGCTTCTTAGGATCCTAGTGGGAAACGTCGCTCCCACTGATCATCTCATGGCACTGTACGACCTCCAGATATAAGGACATACTATGAATACTTGGTCTGTGCTCATCTGTGCTGTGCTTGGAGAAGTTACTTCTGATTGGGAGTTGTTTTGGGTTTAGGGGCTAGCTTATAAATAAATAAAAAAAAGACGGAGGGTTCCTCAACTCACAGTCTCGCTGAAGACTTGATTAGACAAATTAAAAGTAGATGGACATGATTAGAAAAGCGGTCAAAGTATAGGGGTGAAAAGTATAGTTTTTCCTTTCTCATTCTCGAAGCGGAGCATGTAAAAGGAGACTAGAGTTGATGCTCATTTTGAAAATATGCCCGCTATTTGTCACTTTACAAGGTCCTCAATCATGTATACTTCAAACTTGTGCAATATTTGTCTGAAATCATACACTTTATATGTCCTCGAAGTTCACCTCATAATTGAAACTCGAGAAGCCCAACGTTGTCCTTTTCCTAAATGACTTTACGTAATACCTTGTTAACTTCACAAATTAAGTAAAATTGCAATTTCAAATGGATGATCTAAGCATAAAATCTTTTCCATTTAATGGTAAAGAGACTATCTTATTATGTGCTTAATGTATTTGCATCCAACTCACTCTTTAATCATGGAATCAATTTCCTACCCAAAAAAAATCACGGAATCAATCTAACAAGGTAGGTCTCCTTTTCTTCAAGAACTTATGAATTTGAAAACATAAAGATCTTGCGTTGGTCAAATTAAAAATAGTAATCTCGTGATCGGCCCTCCTTTGGAAAGGATTGAGCGCCCTCAAAACAATCATTTAATGACCATGAAACATCATGACATCCATGCAAGTGCATGCACGATCGAATAGCTCATTGCCCTTTCGTACCATTTTCACTTATCTTTACATACGATGATTAAAATGGTTTCAACTTCTTCCTTATTAATATTTACATGAAAAATCATTATGAGTCATGATAATCTAATATCAATAGAGAATTAAAATCATAATATTAAAATTAAATAGAATCTCTAACCTTTCAAAATTACGATCACTTAAATCTTTAGCACCGTCCAAACTTAAATATAGATTTTCTTATTTTCGGTGAGTTAAATTTTCTTATTTCACAAGAATATAAATCATCTCTCAAACTAGACAGAATTATTTTTTATCGAAGTACTTTATATTTGATTTTCTTCTGTTTTCGTTTTTTTTTTGTCAGTCATTCTCTGACTCTTAACTTACTTTCAGATTTTTGCTCTGCCTCTTGCAGGGCGTAGAAGTCAAAAAATTTAAAAAGTAATTTGCACCTCAAAACAATCATGTAGCGACTATGAAACTCCATGATATCATGTATGCATATGCATGTGGAGTAGCTCCTTGTCCTCTCATACCATTTTTTCTTATTCTTTAATAGGGAAAATTCCAATTAAGGACCCCAAGTGGAGTCAAATTCTCAAATAAGGACCCAAAGTAAACATTGTGTCAAATAAGGGCCTGAAGTGCCCAATCAGTTTCAAATAAGGACCTGAAGTGCCCAAAAAGTCTCAAATAAGGACCTGGGTCCTCGGCCGGCCAAAATACCCGCCGGCCGGGCAAAAGTTATTGTTCGGCACCTTGGAACATTAACTTTCATTTTTTTTTTTGTTTTTTTATTTTCCTTTTCCTTTTCCTTTTCCTTTTCTTTTTTTTTCTTCTCTTCCTCCGCCGGCCATAGCCGGGGCCGGCGGAGGTCGCCGACCTCAGGCGAGGCCGCCCCTCGCCGCGTCGGGCGAGGGCCGCCTCGCCTGGGCCGGGCGAGGCCGGCCTCTCCGATTCTGACGAGGTCGGGCCTCGCTAGTTGCGAGCGAGGTCGAGCCTCGCCCGGCGGCCGGCGGGGCCGAGCCCTCGCCGGATCCGGCGAGGGCTCGGCCCCCGCCGGCTGCCGGCGAGGCCGCCCTCGCCGGCGTCGGGCGAGGCCGGCCTCGCCGGCGTCAGGGCGAGTCGCCCTCGCCGGCGTCCGGGCGAGGCCGGCCTCGCCGGTTGCGGCGAGGTCGCCCTCGCCGGCGTGGGGCGAGGCCGGCCTCGCCCACGCCGGCGAGGCGACCTCGCCCGACGCCGGGCGGGCCGAGCCCTCGCCGGATCTCGGCGAGGGCGGCCTCGCCTGAGGCCGGCGACCTCCGCCGGCCCCGGCTATGGCCGGCGGAGGAAGAGAAGAAAAAAAAAAGAAAAGGAAAAGGAAAAGAAAAAAACAATAAAAAAATGAAAAATTACTGTTTCGTTGCCGGAACAGTAACTTTCTCGCCGGCCGGCGGGTATTTTGGCCGGCTGGGGACCCAGGTCCTTATTTGAGATTTTTTGGACACTTCGGGTCCTTATTTGAGACTAATTGTGCATTTCAGGCCCTTATTTGACACAATATTCACTTTGGGTCCTTATTTGAGAATTTGACCCCACTTTGGGTCCTTAATTGGAATTTTCCCTCTTTAATATGATAAAAGTAAACCTGAAAAGTGGTATCAACTTTTTTGTCATCAATTACATGAAAATTCATGGTAAATTTTAATAGGATAATATCAATTGAGAAAACAAACTATAATTTAAATTAAACAGTATTTCTAACATTCAAAATTAGAATTACTTAAATTTCTAACACCATCCAAACTTAAATTTGGTAAGTTAAGTTTTTCTCATTTCACAAAAACTGTAAAATCATCTCTCAAATTAGACAACATCGTCATAAAAGTACTTTATATTTGATTTTCTTCCATTTTTTCCAGACCTAACAGCACAACAAATCTAAAATAAGTATATTCGTGTCACATTTACTCAAATTTTGTCATAATATTTTTGATCAATTTATCATAAATATACTAGTTTTAGAATTTTTTTTGTGATATTGACAATTAGTTTGGATAAATCATGATACGAGTATATCAGTTTGAGATTTTTTAAAGTAAAAAAAAAATATTTTAAGATAAACGTAACAGAAAAATTAAGGGTTAATACCACAAAAAACCCTAAACTGGTACAATTGTGACAATTTTACTCCAAATCATTTTTTTGACCACAAAAAACCCCAAACTGGTACTTTTGTGACAAATTTACCCCAAACTATTTTTTTGACCACAAAAAATCCCAAACTGGTATACTTGTGACAATTTTACCCCAACTAATTTTTTAATGTTATTTTTTATTTTTTTGAATTTTTTTATTAATTTTTTTTTCTTTTCTTTTCTTTTCTTTTTTTCCTTAATATTCTTCGTCTTCAACCTCTGGCCGATCACCAGACCAGCGACCAACCAGAGGCGGAAGCCGGCGAGGTCGGCCCCGCTGGCCGCTGGCAAGGCTCGACCTCGCCGGTCCGGCGACCTGCTAGAGGTTGAAGATGAAGAATATTAAGGAAAAAAAGAAATGAAATGAAATGAAAAAAAATTAATAAAAAAATTCGAAAGAATAAAAAATAATATTAAAAAATTAGTTTGGGTAAAATTGTCACAAGTATACTAGTTCGGGATTTTTTGTGGTAAAAAAAATAGTTTGGAGTAAATTTATCACAAATGTACCAGTTTGGGGTTTTTTGTGGTCAAAAAAATAATTTAGGGTAAAATTATCACAACTGTACCAGTTTAGAGTTTTTAGTGGTATTAACCCAAAAATTAGTTTCAAGTGCGTATTTCCCAGCGAAGGATGAGAGATCAAGAAAAATCAAGTCGCCGGAAAGACAGTTCGATGAAAAGACGATTATGCCCTTCTGGCATTAATATAAATAATGGCTCCCTGCAGGCTGCAGTAGCCCCCCGGCCCCCGGCATTTTAGCGCGCTCTTGTCCCTCTCTCTCCCAAACGAGAAGTTACAGCAGAGTCGCTACAGAGACCGCGCAAGCTCGGCGGGAAAAGCAAAGCGACTCCGCCGTGGAAAACCCCCTCCTCCGCCGCGATGGCCCAGAAGAGCAAGGTCCTGGTGATCGGCGTCACCGCGCTCATCGGAAAGTTCATCGTGGAGGCTAGCGCGAAGTCCGGCCACCCTACCTTCGCTCTCGTGGGGAAGTCCGCTCCGTCGAGCCTCGTCCAAGGCTTCACGAGCTTAGGCGTCCATGTAGTTCAAGTGAGTAGCTTATTCCCGCGCCATCGCGTTCGTTTCCGGCATCTGGTTCCGCTTTGAGGAACCGAAGCGTCGCCTGCCGTTGACCTTTGTTCGCCGTCCTGAGGAGAGATGCCTTCAGCCGTAGGATCGGAGTTGATTTTTCCGCCTCGAGCTCTGTCGCTCGATCGAGTCGATGGAGTGGCGTCGCGATTCGGTGCTGCTCTTTCTGTTTTCTGATGTTTTCGTCTTTGTATGTCGGTGAAATTTCACGCTGCCTGATGAATCATCTCAGCTTCGCATGTTGATTCGTACGATCACGTTTTCAGACAAATCTTGTTGAAACTTCCGTACGCTTTAGCTGTTCATGAGACAGCGATAGCTAGGTAGGTGCACTGACCTGTCGTACGGATGCCGTGTTTAGATACCTCGTTACTACCTTTTGAAGATCGGCAGGCTATGTGGGGACCAGACTTTTGTGGATAGTAGCTTGTTGTTTGGCGAGAAAGTTGCACCGAAAACCGGCGGAGGGAAGAGAGGAGAAACGAAAAAAAGGAAACAAAAATAGACAAAAGAAAAAAGGCGAAAATGCCTTTTAACAGGAGTATTGTGGGGTAAACGTGTCACAAGTGAGATAATTTGAGATTTTTCTTATCACAAAAAAAAGTTCAGCATAAATTTGTCACAAGTGGCATAGTTTGGGATTTTTTGTGGTATTTTACGTTTTTTGATTTGTCATCTTATCTTCATCGGATTATGAATTGCTCCTTTCCTTAGTCTTCCCACTGCTGAGACAGGATTTGTTTATGATTGCTGACTTCGTTGATTGTTTTTTGATGCTCTCGGTCATTTGATTCTCAGGGAGACATAAGTATAAACCATCCAGAGACTCTATTGAATGCGGTTAGGCAGGTTGATGTGGTAATCTCTACTGTCGAGACACCACTAGAGGTCCTAT